TTTAATGAGAGAAAGTATGAATGAAGAACGGTACCGGGATTTGTGTTTAAAGGCGGTTACACACGGACGTGGATGTCTGAAAACATGTATGCACATACATGAACGCGCGAACACGATTTTATTATGAGTTATACGATTTTATGTAAAATATAGCTATTGACGTCATTATTTCTTTTCGAAACAAACACTACAAGAATGGCGCATGTGAAAACCTACTAAGAACATATTATACAGGGTGATACAAAAATATATAGGTTGTTCTGATAAGAGTTTCCGGATGCCAGGGCTTTCATGGCGTTTGCTAGTTTGACCGCAGTTTTCTTTAGGTGGCTTGCAAACGTTAGCTTGTTATCTAGCCATACTCCCAGGTATTTAATGTCTGTGGTTGGAGATATCGTCTTTCCCCATACCATAAACGCTCTATTGGGCACCACCTTTCTATTGGTTATTATTAAGGCCTGTGTTTTTTCTTCTGCTAGTTCCAGTTGATTCTCCTGTAGCCACGACATAATACCTGGTATTGCTATTAGTAGCATTCTTTCAATCTGATCCAGGTTTTTGCCCAGAACTGTCAGTGCAATATCAATATCGCCCGCGTATCCTATCAGTGTAGCGCCCTTTGAGTCTTAGTTTCAAGAATCCGTGGTACATGATGTTCCACAGGGTAGGTCCGCATCCTGGAACTGCGCAGGACTAGTTGCGTACTTATTCAGTCTTTAGAACTGTGCGCAGATCGTTTGGAATTGATCAGAGTTCGAAAAAACCCGGACATGTTATGTATTATTTGTTTACAGAGCAGGCGACAGCGATAAATTAATGAAATATATCATAAAGCTTTTTTTCTACTACCTTGCGTAAAGTACTAGTGCGTAAAGCATTTGTCTAAATTTATTTTTTACACATATTTGATTGGTAGTAGAAAAAAATTTGTATGCAATTCGTGCGTAAAGCACCTTTTTTCACTCATGTGATTGTCAAAATTCACATTCGTGAAAAAAGGTTCACTTTACACACTTGTTGCATAAATAACTATTTTGTAGTCTGGTTTATTTTGCCCAACTATTCTCCCCGAGATTTTTGCCGCCCTTCGATTTTGCCGCCCCGTGCAGGGGCACAGGCTGCACGGGTCCTGGAGCCGGCCCTGATCGTTAACAATTAGGTATATGTGAAACACAATATCCAACAAATAGCCATCGCGACTTCTCTCACAGCACACAACTCTTTTGCCAAAATTTTTGATTACCTCTGTGCACATTTCCGGTGGTATTTCACGAATAATGCTACGAATCACATCTTTCAACTGTTTTATTGTTTGGGAATTGTTCACATGCGCTTTTATTTTGATGTAAGCGGCGCAACATGTCACACAGCAAGATAAACCATTAACTTATTGCAAACACGGTTTGAAGATAAACTTCTTTCAAGAAATGAAGATGTCAATTGGCCGCCTAGATCTTGCGATCTAACGCCACTAGACTCTTTTTTGCGGGGTTACATGAAAAGCAAAGCGTATGTTAACAATCTCCCAAACAATTCAAGAGTTGAGAGATGAGCTTCGGCGTATTATTCGTGAGATACCACCGGAAATGTGCACAGATGTGATCGAAAATTTTGGCAAAAAAATTGTGTGCTGTGAGAGAAGTCGTGATGGCCATTTGTTAGATATTGCGTTTCACGTATAATTATAAACGATCATGGTCCTTATTCTTGAAACAGGGGAGCAGCGATCCCAAGAGAACGAGTGTTCCATCTTTGTTACTTATATTATCATCTCCATTCCATTGAGAGACAGAACACTCGTTCTCCTGGAAACGCTTCTCCTCTGTTTCAAGAATAAGGACGCATGTTACTTATTGCTATAAAGTAGGTATCAAATGTTTCCTTTTCGTTTGAATTGAAAAAAACATCCGGAAACTCTTATCAGAACACCCTATATATTTTTGTATCACCCTGTATAATATGTTCTAAGTGTGTTTTCACATGCGCCATTCTTGTAGTGTTTGTTTCGAAAAGAAATAATGACGTCAATAGCTATATTTTACATAAAATCGTATAACTCATGATAAAATCTTAGTCGGCTGCGATATTCAAAAAATCTCAAAAACGTCTCGAGGTACTAAGGTACTCTTTTGAACTGCATACCAAAAATCTACTTAACCCTCCTTCCAGCAGAATGGAATGAACCCAAACTTTCGCACCAAAATCGCCAACTTATGTTTCACCCTGTATCTTTTAGCAGGTGGCCGGAAATCTGTTAAGAACTGGAAATTAAATAGCAATTAGAGCATCCTTTCACTCCTGAAAATTTGAACAAAATCGGCCTGCTAGATTTTGAGTTATGGTCTTACAAAAAGTGACCAAAAATTGGGGTGTTCGAGTTCGATTGACGCGTAGTTTATTTAGTTATTTTAAATCTCTTATATTTTGTTGATGATACCGCTACCTTTCCTAAGGCTTAATTTCATAAAATTATATATATATATATATATATATATATATATATATATATATATATATATATATATATATATATATATATATATATATATATATATATATATATATATATATATATATATATATATATATATATATATATATATATATATATATATATATATATATATATATATATATATATATATATATATATATATATATATATATATATATATATATATATATATATATATATATATATATATATATATATATATATATATATATATATAAAACACAGTTGTGTTGGTATTTGAGCACTTATAACTCGAGAACGGCTGGACTGATTTTTATGATTTTTGCTTTATTGGATTTGTCTTTGTCCATCCTAGGATAATAAATCGAAAAAATCCACAAAAAAAAAACAAAAAAAAAAATATCTATTTTACTTATTTATGAAAAAAACTCACTAAGCCCGCATACGGCGCCATCTCTTATAACCGATACCAAGTTTACCGTCACATTTTCATTGCAAACCATGTGGATTTTATTGTCACACACTTTGCACAAAAACAATTTGAGGAAAGCACTTTATTTTTAATTGTTCTTCACAGTAAAAATGTCCAAAAATAAATAGAATGACAATGTTTTAATTGTGTATTTTATTTTGTTGTTGGTTCGTTCATTCCGAAAGAGTGCGAACTGGTCTACCTGTCATTTCTTGACGCTTGACCATTGACGTTCTGTGGCTAAGTTCCGTTTCTCCTCTTACGCATCCCTTGACAGCCGTGCTCCGTGCCGACTGTTCGGAGTGCTCCGTCCGGCTGATGTCGAGTGGCAGAGAGCCAGGTTATGAGTCCGCCATAACCATTTTGTATACGGCGCCATATATGATAGGTACCTAGAACGAAGCTCGCCGTTGCGCGGTAATTTCATTGCGGATACAGTAGAACAGAATACTGCTAAGTAACTGGAGCCATTCTGAACAGAACTATTCCACTATTCCGATCAGATAAAGTGGTGCAGAAAGAGTAGATCAGATAGAATAGTGCAGATACAGTAGAACAGATGGAGTATTGCAGTGCATGCAGTGCAGATAAAATGAAACAGGGCTGCGCTGGAGATTTTTTTTGTTTTCTTTACATTTTTTGAACATTCCTGTGCCTGAGTTTATTTATTTGGTGGTACACTTTATAAGAATAATGCCCACAAGATGGATGATGATGTGAAATTTTAATTTTAGGTGACTTCTGATCCAGAGAGTAAAAATTAATTTTCTTCGACCAAAGCCAAATTCACCATCGAAAAAAACTGAATTTAATTCAGCTAATAGATACATTAACACAACATTTAATAGGTATTTAATAATTCAGAGGAGGTACGAAGTTCGCCGGGTCAGCTAGTTTTCTATAAAAGTGATATCTTCATATTTCAGTAACAAGAAGTAACTATAAATAGAAGCTTATTCAGAAAATTAAAAAGGGGAAGAAAATTTTACAAAAACGTGTAGTCTTTGAAAAATTTAGAACTTAAACTTTTAAATAATAGGAATTCAGATTTTGCTAAATCTAAATTTATTAACCCCTCATATCCAAAATCCAAAACTAACAATTTAATCAATATATTCATGAAAAAAATCAATAGGGAACACAAATAAAATCTAAATTTCTGAATTGTATAATACTTACAAAAGATAGTTATAGATTTTTTAACATCAAACATTGTTTCTTAAATGTTATACTAATGCTGTATCGCCTGTAACATTCTGACCCTGAATCTAGCCCATGCAATAACATTCTGACCCTTTAAATAGCTGCATTATCCTCCCGACATTCTGACCCCTGATGCAGCGCATGTATAGTAACATTATGCCACCCAAAATAGCCACTTCGAATTTGATTGGTCAGGTTTCCGGGCTATGGCTAGATTAGGTGGCAGAATGTTTTGAATCTATATTACTCCACTAAGCTGCACACGAGTTATGACATTTGTACAATTCAAAACTGACTATTGAGAGGCGTTTCAGGCTATTTGGTCGGCTAAAACAAAAATGCTCCGACACGTCATTTTTGTATTCAAGAGGGAAACTTTTTGACCCCATCGGTATTTTGCTAAGGTGCACCCCCTGGGTGGGGTGACTTTCACCCCTCTTTTTTAGATAGGGAAAATGGGTCGAGTGGTACCTTGTTTTAAAGGTATGTATTTTGATTCTCGTCAGAAGTGCATTTTTTTTGAAAATCGAATGACTAGTTCTCAAGATATTCACTGTAAAAGTTGCCATGGGCTAAATAAGAAACTATTTTCTGACCCTGTTATTCTCAAATTAACACTTTTCTCTCGGACTCGTCAATTTTCATTTTTTCAGAAGCACACAATATCAGATAGGTATATGTAGTTGAATATCACCTACTTACCTTTCTTTTTTGCATTTCTCGCAGATCCATAATGATTTCTTTTCGATGAAATTTCCTCTAGTTCACTATCGCTACTGCTGTAAGGTTGTTTGTTGTAGACTGGAACCTTGCGTTTGTTCCTAAAAACTTTCTCACTTTGCGAATGGCTCAGTGCAAGTTTTTGTGCAGAAGTTGAAGCACTGAAAGCAAGCCAGATATTAATTCTTGGGCAGGATTTTTCATCCTGAGTGATTTATTTGGATAAATTTAATTATTTAACTAACAATTTCCTTTCAAAAAATATAAAATACTTAAAAAAAATCAAATAATTTCCAATTACCAGAGTGGCTCATTTTTTCTCAACGGGTTCAAATATTTCAACGAATTGCTTCTACTTTCATCTTCAGCTGAGCAGCGTCTAGATCTCCCATGGCATCTTTTTTGATGCTTTTCGCTGAAGCTTTCATCGGCAACTACTAAAATACCAGCTCGGCTCTGCCTGAGTTTATATTTCGTTGGTTTTTCAAGTGTTTCTATCTAATAAAACAAATTATTGAATCTTTTATATACATTGACCAAAAGCAGATAAGTTACCTCAACAGTATTTGAAGGGTGTATTGAAACTAAACTATTACGGTTCTCTTTGACATAACAAGGGGGTTGCCTCTTGTTTCCTTCTCCACAAGTTGGCAAACGTGTCTTAAACTCCTTACTATTCGAATTTGTATTAAAATTTTGAAAACATCCATCACTTTTACTTCGACGAGGTCTGATGATTTTATTTCGTCTTGCGGTTTGTCCAGACTCCGATTGGGCTAGATAAATAATTTGAATTTATTTATGATGATTATTCGACTATTTCTTTTTTTTCTTACCCAATAGGTTTCCTTTGGCATTGAATAACTGAATCACTGGTAAAGCAATTAATGTAGACGACTTTGAGGTGCAAATTTCCCAGTTCCAATTTTTTGGCTTCTTCAGCTGAAGTGAAATAATCTCTTGAACGGGGTTCCCCTCATAAGATATCATGATAAGTATATCAATTTTTGTGAGGTAGCTGAAAAAAATTTGTGAAATTATGAGAGGTTCTAATTTTTAAAATTTGTCATTGGCCCATTTTTTTTTTTCTGAGAATACTCAATGCTATAGTTAACTAGAAAGTTTTTTTTATTGCCTAGTGCACAGAAAGATTTATTCGGGATTAGACAGGGACCATTATTTTACGTATTTTTTTTCTTTAGATTTAAAAAAAGTTTCTATGATTTAAGAGATAAAACTTGGCTTTTAATTTTTACAATCTATCATCTAATATAGAGGTAATCCCAAACCATAATAACAATTGGCCATAAACGTCGAAGTATGCAATTTATTCATCAAAACATCATGGAAAATGCCTTGGCATAATGATAAATGTAAACATCAATCTGCTGCCAATTTTTCATGGCCATGGCAATTGAGTATTCGAGACAAATTCACCATAGTTCTGTAAATTGAAAGTTGTGGATCTCAGAAAAGTTTGCACCAAAATACCGGTTAAGTAAATTTTTGCTCCAAATTTGAGAACATACAAACGAATCTGGCAGTAAAAATAACATTATAAAAATTGTTTATTGGCCCATAATCTACATTCCATTCAGCAATAGGTTCCAATAATGCCAGTAAGTAGTAGTAATTTCAATCAATAGTTTTCTTCTGTACGTAGCCTTTTGGTAAATGGCTTCCCTTTTCGGAGTTACGGAGTTACAGTACCTGATATATGTGCCCCTGAGAATAATACTTTTTCCATTTCTCAAAACCCTGTTGTACGAGAATCACTATGTTTGGTACACAGGGGTTTAGTGATATGAAAAATTGGATGGTGCTACATTTTTAGGCGGACTAGGTTTCATACGGGTCCATCACACTATCCGGAAACACGAATTTGACATTTTTGAAGCTTTTACATTAAAATATACAACTCAAATAATAGTTTTATGAAAAAAAAAATGCGGGTTTTTTCATTTTTCTGCAAGAAAATTCAGTTCAAACTGACGGAAATTGACCATTTCATAAATTGAATACGACATTAAACGAAATAAAAATGCAAGTTGCAATCAACGTTGCCACATTGTGTGATATCTCCTGAGCTTAAATAATAATAAACATAAAAAAAACCATAGTCTTAGAGGTTTTATTTATATTTCTTACTAATAAGTTGCATTAACCATTTGTATCTATACATTATAATATAAAAAAGGAAAAGTTGAATTAAGAACCACTAAAACTAAACAAACTTAGGGAATAAAATATGTAATTAATCAACTTAATAATCCTATAAAAAACTATTTAATATTTTTGTCCAATTTGCAATGTTAAGTTATACATTTGTTGGATGGCATTTTTGCCATATATCTGCTTCCACATATCTATATTGGTCAATATATTGTGGCAAATATTTTGAATGCATAACACCCATAGCTCTGAGATATTTTTTCAAGCCAGACCAATAATACCCTTCCACCTGGTTGGTACAGACCTCTGTAATGGGATCTTTGAAATATTTGGTATGGTTTACTGTACAGTTCGGTGGACGTAACCATAGTCTACTAATCCAGAATAAGCGCGTCAATTGCCTGTCCATATTTCACTATCGACCCTTGCATGTTTTGTTATAATCGGTAAAAGAATCGCAGCGGATCGATTTTTGACATATTGAATATATTCCGTTTTTTCAGTGTTATATTTTCTTTCAGAAATTACCGATTCATCAATCTGTACCAAATGATTCTCTCCGCCTAAATAGAATAAAAATTATAACAGACGATCCTCTTCTCAACCTTTGACACAGATCAATGAATAATATCAATTCTTATCAGTTTAATATCACTATCGCTCTGTTTTTCGATAATGACATAAATAAAAAATGAATCAATAGTAAAGTAGGTAATTTTTTTCTGGGTCTCGTAAAGAAAAAGATGATCTGATTTTAGAAACTTTTTCAACTTAAAAAAAAAAAACATAAAATCAATAATCTTAGTAAATTAAATGACAAATATTTTCCTGTATGAATTTCAGTAAATTTATTTATTCATAAGAATATTTAATGTTTTCCGCATTTAATTGAACATCTTAAAGAGGAACTAAACGGTTTTATGGAGAAGTATATCGAACTTGTAAGTTTTAGTGTTTCCGTATAGTATGATGGAACCTTTCAAACATAAATTTTCGATCAAAGAAATTAACAGAGAAAAAAAATAATTATTTTTACTTACCAGAGGTATTCGAGGTATCCTATGTAGGTATTGGATTTTATCACTCACTTTTAAATTCGCTAAACTTTGCAAAACATGACAACTTTAAGTTCGAATTATCACAAATTAACACTACGATTTTGTCACAATGTCATTGAAAATTAGGTAACAATTTTAAGCTCAAACATACCTGCATACAAACATTCTGTCTAAAAAATTAAAACAAAAAAACAAACTACATATTATCTATTCCTGTATGTAGGTTTCTAAAACGAAACAATCGCAAACGTAACAGTTAAAGAATGATGATAGAAATAGCACCACACTTTGGCAACGAGAACGATATCAACACGTTCGGATAATCTAAATTTAATATCAGTTCTGACTCACAGTTTTTGGGAAAAAAATATTTACATATGCTAAAATAATTTTGGAATATTTGCATAACGTACAAAAACGAAGCGAAAGTTGTATAATTTATAACGCTATTTTGATATTTAAAAATCTATTTATTTATGACTCCCGAGAGTGTTGGACGAACACAGTTTTATTATACATATTTCCAATATCCCTAGCGTCCTTACATTAATCACAGCTTATTGTTTTACTATCGACTCGCGACCCACTAATTATCCGATTAATAACTTATTCAATGGACCACTAACTTCTTGACGTGAGCGTCTAATTTATCTTAGATCGACTGACCTTTCACAACAACAGCAGAACTAATTACAGATACTGACAATAATAATGTCGATAATAATAATAATACAAGAATACAGGTAATATACATTAAAACCGTACAAAAAATCTTAGCTAAGTAAACCAATCACAACATACAAAGAAATACAATTCTAGGATGGGTTCAATTTTCTGTACCTTCTGTAGTAGGTAGGTACATAATATATACTTCAAGAATTTTCGCTGCACACTTTCTATAATTTCATCCCAATTATGGTTTTGGGGTGACCAATTACACTGCCATATTCTAAGATGGGCACAACGACTGTCGAAGGGACATAAACTAATACCATACTAAAACATTTTGTGTTTCTTGTAATGGAACCCCATACTTTCTGAGTAGGTATTAGACTAGAAATCTTCGACAAAATATGCTTTGAGAAAGAGTAGAAAGACAAAGCAGGATCAAAAATAATTCCCAAATCATTTTGCTCAGACACTCAAGTTTTTCATTAGGGGCCTACCTACTTTGCTAAGAGTAATCATAGACGCCGACAGGATTTTCATTATGTATGAATGACGTGCATACACAGTTATCTAAGTTCAAATCAAAACTACTTTCAGAGCACTGCGCAGTTCGGTAATTCTTTATCCCCGACAATACCATTGTTAAATACAACCAAAAAAATAAAAGCGGACTCAGGTTTGACCCCTGGGGAATACTTGATGTGCTGGTAAAAACTGAAAACAATGATTTACGACACCTAATTTCAACATACTAATATCGTTTACTCGTTTACTGCTTACTTCTATCAGTAGGTAGCTAAATATGAAAAAATTAAATTGATTATAAGTTGAGATACATCCACATCCCCCAGGATTCTCACAATCATTCCATGCCGAACTTTATCAAAAGCCTTCTGATAAAGTTCGGCATGGATTGATTTTGAGCTTTTCCGGATCTGTGTACACAACATCAACCTAAGATTTTTTATTTAATGGTTCATGAATGTGTACCTATATGATGGAATTCCATTAGGGCCTAAAATACCTTCAACCTTCCAACTGATATTTTTATATCACTACACCGAGAGAAAAAATTAGATAATAGTTAATGAATATTTGTTTCAGTAGTATTTTGTAACAGATATTATGCCACACTAACAACAACAATAAATTATTATCAATAAAATTAATTATTTTCTATTAATATTCACCTGAAACAACTGGTTTATTTGGACTAATATTGTTGTCTTTAATAAGTTACAATACTGCAAAATAAACGCATCATTAAAAGCATTCGTTTTGTTAATGTGAATTTTTCTTTCTTTTCGACAAATATGGTTTGTTAATAGTGACTGTATAGATTTATATCTATTAAAAAACTTACAGTTATGGAAAAATTATTCGATATTAAGGGTTAAATAAATTTAGGTATAATTAATATTACTTGTTTATAATAAAAATTGACATACTAACAGTTACAAACTTATGTTTAGACATAAGTAATATTTATTTGCATGTACCTCATCTCTCCACCGGCACCAGTACATTTTTGTTGGTTTGTGATGATCCAGAAATTTGACCCGATAATTACAAAGTCTTTACTGTAAAAATTGAATTTTATCAAATAATCAAAATTTAATTCCGGTATTTTTAAATCTGTATCGATAAATTAAAATAAATAGTATATTACATACCGAGGTGGAAAGTGTTTCATTACTGTCGAGAGATTAGTTAGTTAACTGAGACGCGAAGCGTCGAAGTTAACTATAATCTCGAGACAGGAATGAAACTTCCTACCGAGGTTTGTATACTATTTTATTTACAACAATTACAACCCTCATAATTTCGACTAAATACTAAAAAAAAATTTAAAAATTTGTTGACAAGTTCTGACTCCTCTAAAAAAACGTTTGACATGCAGGACTCGTCTTAAACATTTTAAAAAATGAGAACTTACTTTCCACCCGGGTGGAAAGTGAGCACTTTCCACCCGGGACCACTTTCCACCCGGGTGGAAAGTAAAATTCAAAAAAGTGTCACTTTCAAACTTTTGAAAAGTCAGAAATGTCAACATTACGTATGTGGTTGTAAATAAACAAATTAACGCGACGTATCTCGACACACAGGATGTGTGTCATCAAAAATCCGATCAATGAACTTTTTTTTCTAGCAAGGCCAGCATGTTAATTAATTTGATGAAATATGGCATTCTTGAACCAATAACGTTTTGACCTCAATAAATCAGATTATTGCGACATAATTAATTGGTTTCAGGCTTAAAATGATGTAAAATTCCAAGGAAATTGCATCATTATTTTAATAATAATTAGCTTGGCCAATGGAAGTGTCGGATTGCTAGGCAAATGACCGCCTGTTGACGATTTGGGGGAAGATATAAAAACCACGGTTTCAGTTGCCATTATACAGTTGCCAGTTAAGAGTTGAGTCGTCCATTTGAGTTAAAGTCTGTCCAGTTTCGCGAAAAGTTACCTTTATGGCGTTTGGCCTCGGGTATAATTTAACTTAGAAGATTTACGGAAAATCGTGTAAGTAATAACATTTGAAATTCGTTCAATAATTTATGTGCGTGCTAGCTAAATATTTTGAGTAATTAATTAAGTAATTTTACGTGTGTTTTATGGACAAAATGTAACTACTTTATAGTGACAAGATTTATTTTGATGAACATGACTTTGTGTGATTAAACTCTGACTTTCATTGCATAAAAACAAACTGAGTGATTTTTACTAGAAATACTTTTGAATTTATAAACTTGAGGATTGTATTACTAGAAAAACTTTTGACTTTTAATTTAACAGTGGAACTTTATTGCCTTAAATAGTAATAACTCGAGTGTTTTATAAATGGAACATTATTGCAAAACTTAATTACCTTCAGATATAATGACATTTAATGGTGAAAAGAGAATATGAAGAGTACTTATAATGCATTTAACAATATACTATTTTGAGTTGGAATTATGAATTAAACAGTTGTATTTATTAGCTAGGCATAGGAATCCGAAAATAGAATTGTTCTGATAAACTATTAACTGCAATAGGAAATTTTGAAAAGAAATTTGATGTCATAAAATAGAATTGTTTTCTTGAAATATTGGAAACTTGTTAAAAGGAAACTTATATTAGAATTTGTCCATGAAATAGAATTGTCTTAGAATATGGGAAAGCTGTCAAAAGAATTTATTGTTCATGAAGGGAATTTTGAATTAGGGAGTTTATTTTACAAGTAGAAGTTATTGTAAGAATTTATGAGAATAAATTAGTTGATAAACAAATAGGTAATTATTTTGGGTTTTCATAAGTAAAGGACTTAGAGATTTTAGGGAATTATTTGACTAGGTAAAGGATAGTTATTACGAATGATTCGGATGTAGTAAAATGAGTTGAATTATAATTTTGAGAAATAGTATGAATAGGGCGTTTCTTATTTAGTAGGGATATTTCAGTGGTCCGTAAAATAACAATATAGAACGGATGTGAAGTATTGACTTTATAGAACTAAAGAAGGATGTAAAGGTATTGGAAGATATTTGGCTGATTTTTTTTGGGTTTTATGTGAAATAAAATATAATTTAGTACACCTCATTAGTTTGTTTCTCTCTCTTGCAAATAGACCCTCTTCCACAGATTTTAGATAGCAAGCTCCAAGTATATGAACACCATCAATATACCGCTCGCCATTTACCATCTAACTAATTTATAGAGTACTTGGGGCGATTTGCTACAGGTTTGTCAAGAAAGCAATGTGGGCTAACCTGTCGGCGTCAGTGGTTGCTGTGAGCTTGTGCTATTTTTGCTTTTATTCTGTGGGCTTGAGGGTGGGCTACGGAAATCAAGATTAATATTGATATCCTCTTTGGATATCCTATACAAAGTGGTTGGTCAAGTGTGATTTGTGAACGATAGGTCAGGGGCAGATAAATACGACCGGCCGGCGGATTCGCGGCTCGTGCACGTGAATTTTCAGGTTAACCAGGCTGAGATTGAGAAACATGACTGATCTCATAGAGCTAGAAGAGTTTCTCGAAAGCAGCGACAATGAAGAGTTGTTGGGAAATTTCTAACTAATTACCAAGATACTTACTATTTGAAAAATTATATATTCTGGAGAAATATTCATATTTTTAATATAAACTTATATTGGTTATCGATTGTAACATTTATTTTTGGTTAGTAAAAACATCTAACGGTCAACAAGGATATATTTACCAAAATAAATCATAAAGTTCCAAGGAAACAAACCTCCAATAAGCAATACTTTAATTTGTTCATAATAAAAAAATATTTGTTTCCGACCCTGGAAACAAATTTTATATTAAATTTAAACAAATATTCATTAAGCCAAATTTAAACTAGAAATGTGTTAATAGTTATGCATTCTTGTTAATAGTTAACAAAGTGTTCTTTCGGTGTAGACGAGATGACTATTACAAAAATAAAATTTCAATCCGGCTGCCAGAATAGTTTGGGCACGGATTCTGCGTATCTATATGTATAGCCTGATTTAAAATAGTCAGCAAAACCATTAGCAACCTTTTGGTCATCATGATAGATATCATCGCCCGAAGCAACCCAAAGACATCTCATCCAGGACATCTGGACAATTTT